TCCCCGACCCTTCAGATTAACACCTCCCCCACCAGTGTTGTGAAGAGTTCACAAAATACACATTGCAAAAAATATTACAGTATTTCTGCCTTGTTGTCCATTAAAAGTATCTAAACATCATTAAAGCAATGTCAATTAAATTCTAAATTAAAATTAAGATAAATTAATTAAAATCGCAAAGATTACATGATAATGCATTTTTTTTCTTCAGAAAACAGAGAATAAATTAAAATCTAAATAAATAAACAGTAAGAACTTTCTTCTTGTCAAGAACCATTTTTCATTTGTATAGGGTTCTTGAGTTGAGCTATACGTTTTCTTTGGAGATTAAAAAAGTTCTTCAAGTTCTTGGTGTTACATTATAGGTTCTTCAGATTATTATCCCAGCTAACAGTGACTGTGTTGGTACACCACAGGCAAACCGATCAACGGTCTGGTGTTTCTAGTGCTTACATGACATCTTGATTATATATACTTATATATATATATTAATAGAAGGGGGCCAAGCACCGAACCCTGGGGTAGACCTTGAGACAGAGGGGCCATGGAGGAAGTACAAATACAAACTGCTGTCAGTTTGTCAGACATGACCTTTGCCAGGATGGGACAGTGCCAGTGATGATGGAGGATTCAAGATATAAGAATTGTATGGTTGAGATACTTAAAACAAGATCATTTTACTTAAAAAAGCAAAATTGCGGAGAAGCATAGAAAAGATAATTTTTTCTTTTTTTAATAAGAAAGAGAAGATACACACACATTCTAATTACAATTTTTTTTAATATATAGAATATTTGTTTTATATTTGAATTGGTTAATTTGAAAGTAGACATTTCTCTCTCTATTGATATTTTTTCATGTCTGTAATGCAAAGATATACACAGAGTTTCGGAGTTTAGCTCTCAAGTTCACAGAGACCGAGACGGCAGAAAGCGCATCCTGTTTGCTTTCATTATTCTACAAAAGCGTAATGTTTTGTTGTTATTGTGAGTACACATAGATAAACATAGAGTCTTTACAGATTCGAAAGATGTATTACTCTTATCTGTTTGGCCAGAAATTACGAAGTATTTTAAGAGCAAGTGACTGCACCGGCGCCTTCATCTGTCCTGCAGTGAGCGCGCTTCTACACTCCGCACAGACACTTGAATAGCGCACATTTTTCTAGGTTAGCCTAACATTAGATTGAGCGGCCATGTAAAGTTGCTAATACTTACATTCAGATGATAAGCAATATTTGAGGTCGATGAATGATAGGCGAGCGTTTGGATGTCCTGCCCGATGTACTGTATTACTAGACCAGCCATTAACGATCTGTCCGTCACGGACTGCGTGCATGACTTCGCCTGTGGATTTTTTTTTCTGCGACTAAGTGACTAAAAAAAAAATTTGGTCGACCAAGCCTTTTCTGGTCGGTGACTATTAGGGGACATCCCTAATAATATTACATTACAGACATTTTGAATTAGGTGTTTGATACTAACATCACTGCTAGAGAGAGAACAAGAATTTGCATAATTGGACATTCACGTGCTTTGAGATATACTGTGTGACAATAAGCCCCGGTCTCTCCTACAGTGTTTCATTAAAATGCAATCCCAGAACATGGTACATTTGAACATCAGCATCAAACCACAAATGCACAGTTTGAGATTTGAAACCCCTCCATGCTAAATGCAGAGCAGCTGTTGGATGGACTGCAGCAGATCACCTGTTGAGGTGCTTTGATGCTCATCAAAGGCTTCATGCAAGGAGATCTTTCTCTGAGGTCTGGCCCAACTCATCTCGTCTCATATGACTCGCAAACTTAATTGTGTTATGTCAGAGATTAGAATTCAAAGTAACTGTGAGATGAAGCCAACTGATGCAAAGCAAAGAAACAAAAGCAATCTTCATGTACAACACAAAGACTCCAAATACTACATCCCATCAAATCATGCATTAACTGCAAATAATCTCAGTCCAGACTTGATCGATATTGTGTAATGAATAGCCGAGTTTGTCAATGTCTTTCCCCACAGGTACAATGTGCTGCTCAGACAGTATCTCTAGAAGATTATTCTGCCTTTGGGGAAATAGAGGTGTCAATCAGAGAAGAGATGTTGCAGTAGGATCTCATGCAGCAGATGTTGGGATAGGAGTGTGGGTGAGATGAAGGAAGGTTATGAGAGGACATTTACAGGATTTTCCCCACTGTTTTGGTTGAATGAATGACAAACAGTGAGAAAGAAAGACATAAAGAGTGTTTTAGAACAACCAGCACTGTAATCTTGTCATTGATAGATTTATTGCTGTCAGTTCTTCCCACACACAACTGGATTTACACAGAGTTCAGCTGGGGAAATTTTCTGTACCCCAGGATGAAAAAGAAATAATTGTATTTTTTAATAGCTATATGTTAAAATATATATTTAATAGCTTTAAAGTGCCCCCCCCCCTAATTTTTTAAGTGTTTAAATGTTACACTGAAATATTTTAGACTTTATTCATAGACTTTTGTATAAAAATGATAAAAATTGTAAAAAGCAAGAAAATGCTATACTTTTTCCTATGAACTTACAAAATTATGTGTACCATTTTACCATTTACAATTTAAAACGTAATATTATATAATACTATATAATACATCTTAAAGAAAAGTCTTACTGACTATCATAATTATTGTCATCATTATTATTATCGCTATTATTATTGTTGTTATTATTATTATTATTTATTCAGCATTCATGCATTAAATTGCATTAGATGGCAGAGAAAAGATGTATTAAGCAGATGCTAAACTTTTGATCTTTCTATTCATCAAAGAATCCTGGAAAATGTTTTCAAAAATGTTTTCATGTTTTCAAAATAAATAAATAAATAAAAAAAATAAAAAAATGAAGCACCACAACTGTTTTCAACGTTGATAATAATAATAATAATAATAATAATAATAATAGTAATTTCAATCCATTTTTGATTTTCCATTCAGATTCTTTAAATATTTTCCACTGACCTAAAGATTTTGCTCAGTAAAAAAAAAAAAAAATCTATATACATATTTTTCCTTTCCTGTGTATTTTTGAGTTTGTTATTAAACTAGCAATTGTGTCCAATGTGACAGGGATTACTGATGCAACCATCACCCAAGCGACTCAATAATCCTTTCAGAGAAGAAAGAAAGCAAAGGTACAAAGATACACACACCTGTTCTTCCAAAACACGAGTGACAGAAAAAAACAAAAACAATTTCACACAATGTTTACTTGCTGAGTCATAAGAGGAAGATTTTCTCCAACAGCTGAAGCATATACTTTCAAATCAGCTGAGGCATGCTCACATAAAATACCAGATGTACTGGGAATTAAAAAATGGCATTGGAAGATAATTATTACAGAGTTTGGGAGCATTCATTCTTATTGTATGCCACCTACATTTTTGCATTTACAATTCTGATTTTTTTGTTAACTGTGTTACTGTTTAAAATTAGCGGAAGCCTAAAATTGGCTGTTTAATGGCATGTTCCATTGTGACAACTTACCCCACATAGTGTGATAAAGTCACACACTGCTTCTCATAAGTTTGGCGCCAGTAAAATATTTAATGTTTTTGAAAGAAGTCTCTTATTCTCACCAAGGCTGCATTTATTTGATCAAAAATACAGTAACACAGCAATCTTGTGAAATATTATTACAATTTAAAAGAACTGTTTTCTTTTTTTTAAATATAATTTATAATACGATTTATTCCTGTGATGCAAAGCAGAATTTTCAGCATCAGTCTTCAGTGTCACATGATCCTTCAGAAATCATTCTAATATGCTGATTTGCTGCTCAAGAAACATTAAAAAAAAAACAAGTTTTATACATTTTCTTTCATTAGGATTCTTTGATTAATATAAATTTCAAATGAACAGCAGTTATTTGAAATATAATTTTTTTGTAACATTATAAATGGTGGCATTACCACTTTTGAATAATTTAATGCAGCCTTTCTAAATAAATGTATTAATTTCCTTAAAAAAACAACAAAAAAGAAACAACTTACTGACCCCGAACTTTTGAACAGTAGGCCTATATTCCTCGATCTGTTGAGAAATAAGGGTGGAAATGTTAAATATTTTTAAGGACTTATACTATATTTAATCATCTAGAAATTTGTTACAGATATGTAACCATATACAAAATGACTTTCAAAAAAAAAAAAAAAAACATACAATGAGAGAGTATTGTTGGCTATTGTTACAAATATACCTGTGCTACTTATGACTGGTTTTGTGGTCCAGGGTCACAAATGTGTACTAAAACATTTTTAACCTGCTTTAGTGTTTACATTTGTTATTTTTAAGCCTATAGCATGAAACTATGCATGTGGAAATGTGCTATTTTTAATGTGGTTTCTCACATTTTTCACTTAAGAGTCACTTCGCAGTTAAATAAAAATGCTTTATGTACAAATAAAGAATAATGTTAGAGTTTTTCAAAAAAATTAATCAAAATTTGTCCGCACTGATACTGCTTCCTATTAGTTACAGCTTCACTGATATGAAAACAAGCCAGCCAGTGGTAAATTAATGGTAATTTTGTTTCATTAGAAAGAAGGTAAACTAATAGCGCAAAGTTGTGCACTGTAGCTTTGACACATGGAGTTTATTTTCTGAAAAATTCAAATGGAAATGCCACCTCTTTTATATAATGACCCAGTACCAATACCCTTTCGAAAAATTTACCATGGTAACCGAACTGCAAAATTACCTTGCTTTTTTTATTACTTGTTAAGATGTGTGGTTACTTTTGAATGGATGTCAGTGGGGAAAGCTTTTTGACAGCATAATGATGTAGCTACTGCATTTACTGGCAGGGTTTAAACAAGCAACACAGTTTCTCACTTCCTGCTAGTAACTGGTAATTTGTCAGAAACTATGGTTACCTTGCAAGCGACCGCTGTTAAATTCTGTGTTGGCTTTGGTTAGAAAACAATGTTATAATGATGTGACAAAATATGTGCATATCTGCAGGTTCATGTTCTGCTTGGCTCGGTCAGTGTTTTATTTTACGTGACGGTGAACAAGTGCTGAAAACGTTCTGGATGTTGCGCAGTGTAGCCGACAACCTGGCAGGTGACTGGGGAAGTACCAGGTAGGCTGTGCTTAAATGCAAGGGTATGTTGGAAGTGCCTATTGAATGTTTCTGATTCTATGTCCTCTTTTTGTATTCCAGGTTGGGAGAAGATCTTTTCTTCAAGACTTGAATTTCAAATGAACTCCGTAATAGATTCAATGTCATTTAATTTCCTTAAAGATGTTGATTTTTCAAGGAGCTTGAGCTTGTTGTATTTAAACCTTCTGAGACATTTAAAAGCCTTTTATAAAGCCCTCAAGCTTAATAAAAGAACAAAAAAGAAACCGCTAAATGGTTTGTGACAGTCTTTATGCGGCCAATATTTATTAAATTCCAGGCTGACACTACTTGAGCTTTTAATACATCTATATTAAGTATTGCTGGGTGATTTTCATTGTTAAACTACTTACTTTTAATGTAGCATGCAGAAACAACTATATAAGTAAACCATTTATATTTTAATTGCCCTAAATGAATAGTTCACCCAAAAATTTAAATTTGCCAAAAATGTACTCTCCCTAAGGCCTTCCAAGATGTAGGTGAGCTTGTTTCTTCATCCGAACAGATTTGGAGAAATTTAGCATTACATCACTTGCTCATCACTGGATCATCTGCAGTGAATGGGTGACGTCAGAATGAGTCCAAACAGCTGATAGAAACATCACAATAATCCACAAGTAATTAATACGACTCCAGCCCATCAATTAACATCATGTGAAAAGAAAAGCTATGTGTTTCTAAGAAATGCTGCTTGTTTGTAAGAAACAAATCCATCATTAAGGCATTTTAATGGTTTACTACTGGTCAAAATACCATAA